TTATGCTAAAATCAAAATTTTTCAAATCACACAGAATGTGTTAAATCATTTCATTTAATTATTCACTATTGTACCTCGATATATTAGAGTATACCACATAAAAGTATAAATTAATTTTAAACACAAATTACAAGTAATATATTACAGCCAACATTTCTTAAGTTACTTATTTAGTCAGCATAATATATAAAGTCTGTCTTTCTGGAAAATTTGACTTTTGGAATAATTGATTTTGAAATAAGTTTTAGCATAAATGTTAGATTTTTCTCTTCCCTACTTTTATGAATACTTTGGGAATCTCATTCAATGTATTTCGATCATATTTACTCCCCTTTTCCAACTCCTCACAGGTCCACCCTCCCACTTCCCTACCCAGCCAACTGTGTGTCCAGGTTTTTAAAATATATATACACATCCAAACCAGTTTAATTTTGCATATACTTTGGATGTGTGACCATTCAAAGGTGTAAGGTCGACCTACCAGGGGCACTTTTGTTTTAAATTAAATTTCATTTTGATTTTTTTTTGGATTTATTTATTTTTATGTCTATGAGTGTTACCTACATGTATCTAAGTGTATGAGAAGATGTTAGAAGAGGGCATCAGATTCCCTGGAAGTGGGTTACAGATAGTTCATTAGCCACCATGTGAGTGTAGGGAACTGAATCAGAATCCTCTTAGCCTTGGAGTCATCTCTCCAGCCCCCAGTGGCACACTCTTATTCTTAGAATATGGGATCCAGTTTAATAGTGTATTGTAAAACACAGTGCCTGGAAAAAAGGAGCTCATTTTGCACCTTGATCTTTTGGAAACAAGTTGTTCTTTAAAAACTTGGATTTCTTTCCTTAGTGTGTTTCATCCTTGCAAAGAGTGATAGTGGTAGTTATGCTTTGACGATTAGAGGTAGGATGCATGTGAAAAACTGTCCTGATGAAAATGAAATTCTGTTGATGTAATACACAAGTCCTGTCTGTGGGACAGATTGTATGCTCCCAAAGTTTGAGCCCAGCTGAAGCCTGACACTGTTAAATGTTCTGAATGATGTTAACATTAAACACATATTGATGGAATATTTTATTTATGCATATATTATTATTTTTTATTTCATGGTTCAGGTTTGATACCAGTGTTGGTCCCCTGGTGTACTCAAACCAGTATTTACAGATTTCAACTAAACTTCCAAGTGAATATATTTATGGCATTGGGGAGCATATTCATAAGAGATTTCGTCATGATTTGTATTGGAAAACATGGCCAATCTTTACTCGAGATGAAGCTCCCGGAAATGTAAGTTATATCATTCCTTTTATCAACCCAATTCATTAGAGCAGTTGATACTTTCAGCTCATTTGAAACTGTTGTTTGTGTGACATTGCCCATTTACACGTAAGAAATAACTATTTTGGTATTGTTTATATTTTAAAATAAATTCTTATTGTAACAGATTTAGAATTTTAATTGGAATGCAAAGTATCAGCTTTATTACAACATTTTCAAACATAATTTGTATTGATCTTCCTCCATCTCCTCCCACATCCTCTCCCTCCCTTATGTCCCACGTGAACTTTCCAAGCATGCAGGAGCCTCTTTGTGCTTTAGTGTCACATGTGTTTTATTAAACTCCCTTCCTCAGCGCCTTTTTTCCTCCTCCTCATGTTTACCTTTCTGTACCCCACACAAGCATCCATGCACACACAGATAAATATTTAAAGATCGGATTCACATATAGGAGGGAACTTGTCAAAATGTGGTTTTTGTCTTCTGAGTTGGGGTTACTTCACTTAATATAGTATTTTCCAGAGCCATCCATTTTTCTGCCATTAATTTTTCCTTCCAGTTGAACAAAATTTCATTGTGTATTTATACCACATTTTCATTATGCACTTCTCTGTCGATAGGCATCTAGGCATATTTTTTTTCTTGCTTTTGTAAATACAACAATAAGCATGGGTTTGCTAGTATGTCTGTGGTAGAAAATGGAGTCCTTTGGGTATATACACAGAAGTGTTGTAGCCAAGTCACAATTTTATTTTTAAAATTTCCAGGAACTTCAACATTGACTTCTATAATGGGTGTGTCAGTCTGCACTCCATCCAACAGCTAAGAATTCATTTGTCTACATTTTCACTAGAAATTTTATCATTTTGTTTTCTTGACAATAATCATTTTGACTGGGGTACAATGTAATCTCAGGGTAATTTTAATTCGCATTTCCCTTTTGGCTAAGAATGTTGAACACTTAAAATATTTATTTTCCATTTGAGTTTCTTCCTGTGAGATCCATTTGCTCCATTAACCCAGTTATTGTTTGGTAGCTCTGTTCTTTGGGTACCTATCTTTCACAGTTCTTTCTATATTCTAGATACCAATCTCCTGTCTGAAGTAGAGTTGGCAAAGATTTTCTCCCACTCCTTAGGGCATCACTTTGCTTTGTTTATAGTGTCCTTTGCTCTGTAGAAGATTTTTAATTTCAATATTTCACTTGTTACTCCATGGGATTATTTCCTGTGCTGTTAGAGTCCTGTTCAGAATGCTCTTGCATACACATAACTCTTGAATTTTTTCCCTGATATATTTCTCTAGCAATTTTAGCATTTTTAATTTTTACATTAAGATCTTTTCTTGATGCATTCTGTGTTGAATTTTATTTTGGTGTCATTTATCTTAATAAATATAGAGAAATCCTAACTTCACTGACTGTATTTTGCTACTATTTGAGCATGAATAAATATTATTGGGTGTTTTATTTTTATTATGAATTTATATTTTATCATTCCACTTTAGTCACTCTTGTTTTTAAATCCAGCAAGCTAGAATAATAACAAACACCATGTTCTATCTATAGCACCCTATCTTCCTATCTTCAGGTTACATTTCCTGCAGATCTGTTCACTTTTCCCTGATCTATAGCATAGGAGAAGCTTCTCTAACTCCAAATTATTACCAGAGAGTAGTTTTTCTTTGTAAGTACTGTAACTTGACAGGATTTGAATTCATAAAATCTGTCACCTGACATTTCATATCATGAAAATATCTCCCAGACATCCCAATAATAAATTATCTTTAGAAACTTTCTAACACTTCATTATTTAGATGATAATGATTACATTGCATAATTTCTGTGTATCTTTGTCTTTTATATGACTGTGAGATTCAGGAGGCCAACAACTTAACCATTGATATTATTTTTATTGTTTATTAGTTTTAAACACCAATGCTACAATATCATTTCCCCAAATGAGTGAGTGATTACTTGAAGGAGCTTCCATTTGTGCAAAGCTACTTAGAAATTCACTGATATCTGTTATATACAGCAATGAAATATTGGTACTTGAAATAGAAACTCAGCTGAGAGCCTCAGACTGTCTTCCCTTAAGCCTTTCTTTTAAGTCTTTGTATAAAATCATGTAGAAAGTCTACCCATTACCTTTCAGTGTTCTGAGACTTTACTTCCATCATCTCACCTGCTCTCAACAAATATACTGCAAAACGTGAGGATAGTCCTTTTCATATGTGTTGGGCAAGATTGAGACCTGATGTGTGTGCCATTGCCTACTCATAGTAGCTTATTCAAACATATTTAATTATAACAAAGTGAACAAAGGTCAGTCATCTATTAACATGTCTATTTTTAACATAAAATTATTGACATGATATCCTTTTTGTATGAGGTTTAATGTGGTTTTATAGAAAAAAATAATATAGAATTATAGAGAAATTTGCAGAAAAAATGAGTTTGCAAATCTTGCTTTAACATATTTCAACTTCACTTTCAATTTAGTTGAGCATTTAATTTTCAAAATTTTGTCTTTTAGAATAACCATAATCTCTATGGGCATCAAACATTCTTCATGGGCATTGAAGACACAACTGGAAAATCATACGGTGTTTTTCTCATGAACAGCAATGCAATGGGTACGTTTAATTTGTTTGATAATACAGTTAAGTGAGCTTTAGCTTGACCTGTTTAAATATTTTTTGATTCCTATTATATATATTTGATGCCAAAATAAACTCTTGTGTAAATGATTTCAGCATGTGCGATTATTATTGGGAGGTTTTTAAAATTAGTGAGGCTATTGGTTTTAGTTATGAGTGTTTCAATTTTTGGAAGCATGTTATGCAGCTACACACAGCAGTGTTCTCCCCTTCAGAATAAAGTTTAAATGCATGGCAGAATTCTTTGTTTTTTTCTGTGTTGTCAGTAGAATATTTTTTAATAGGTGATTCTGCAATAATAAAAATTACAGACAATAATGTTCCAGTAAGAGCAGGATTTTATGTAATTATCTAGTCAATTGCTTGTAAAATGTTTAATTAAAACCTTCTGTTTTCTTAGAAATTATTGTCTTAATATGATCTTTCACTTAATCTTGAATTGAAATACCTAATTGAGATGGAATTTTAGAAAGGAATTTTTTTGTAAGAATTTGGATCACCTTTGCTTTGTTATGCAATTTCCAGTGGTGGCCTGCCAACTCTGTAACAGGAAATTTTTGGGCATCTCATTTTAACCTTGTACTTGGCGGCATGCTACTTTTCTCAGGAGTTAATCTTACATTCAATACCTAATTTCTTAATTATGGAAAAGAATACCTTACTTCTTAATTATGGAAAAGAATGCATAATGATATGGTTATCCAGAAGTTCTTTAAATATGCACTGTTTAAAATGTATGTACATTTTACTATTTACATATGTTTCCTTTTTTTTTTTTTTCATAGAGATTTTCATCCAGCCAACGCCAATAGTGACTTACAGAGTTACTGGTGGAATTCTAGACTTTTATGTGTTTCTAGGAGATACACCAGAACAAGTAGTCCAACAGTATCAAGAGGTATGTGTCAGACCTTTTTTGTAAAATTTCTTTCTGCCATTATTTCAATTAAGAAGTCCATGTTCTTAAATTGCTTTATAATTGCATATCTGAGATTTCTTAACTAAAAATATTTTACATATAAAATTTTAAAGATATGAGTTGATAATTTCTATTTCCTCCTATATAATGAAACCTATATATAATTACGTCTTGTTAGATTTTGATTTGATTTTTTCTTTTTTTGCTACTAGATAGAGTTCAAAAGTCAGATTTATTTGAGTTGCTGCATATTAAGCCTTTACTTGTTCATGAACTTTGCAGAATAAAGCAAAAGAAAGTGTTTCTTTTCAGCACTAAGGATAGTCAATGATAGTAGAGCTCATGTAAAATTCCGATCATAATAGGAAATGGAGGCACAGTAGAAAAGTGTCCCTACAATCTTATTATTTCTTTGATTTATACTTTCATTAGCGTCCTTAATTTCTCATGTTAGGCACAATATATCATTGCACATATTATCCTCTTGAATATTTTTCTTTAATACAATATACCTAAAAGATACAGGACAGAACTTGAACATACTAAGTGTTTTGTAAGAAAATTCTAACAGAATTTGCAGAAAAGCATTTTAGAATCCAGGTGCTAGTCTTCATTTGAATACGTCCTTAAACAAGTTCTAGAAACATAATAGAATAAAAGGCACATTAACATTGGTTAGTAATATAAATGCATTTCGCCTTGTTGAAACTAATTCAATGTCCATGTATTTACCTCAAGCTCGTTGGACGACCACTGATGCCTGCTTATTGGAATCTTGGATTTCAACTGAGTCGCTGGAATTACAATTCACTGGATGTAGTGAAGGAAGTTGTGAGAAGAAACCGGGAGGCTGGCATACCATATGTGAGCACACTGAAGCGTGTGGGAGTGTGAATCTGAGGGCAAGCCTGATCAAAGCCAGAAAAGAAAGCAAGCTGTCAGGGAATATCATTGTATAGCACATAAGGTTAATTGTCTGGAATATTAATGATTATAAAAGAGTTTTAATGACAAGTTAATTTTATCTTCATATGTAATGCCCACAGGTTGCTGAATGTATATAT